TAACCACAGTATTGTGTACTGCTAACACTGAGGAATTCTCTCTGTGGGCTGCTGTTTTGGGCTCTGGTGAAAGGCTTTTTTTTTTTTTTTTAACTCAAACATATCCACTGAGATGTATTATGGGGGAGAGAAGGAACTTAAAAACGTAGAAAGTTCTGCAAACCTTTAACACTTTGCCATCTATTCCAAAAAAAAAAAACAGCTAAAATTAAAAAAAAACAAAAACAAAAACAAAAAAACAACTCTTCAGGACTGGCTGAGCAGGGAGAGGATGAAAGGGACAACAGAATTGCTGGCTTGAGACATGATGAGGGGAAGGTCTAAATGAGTCCCTGCACTGAGAAGGCCCTGGGTCCCATGGGTCTATTGGCAGACAGAAGAGGACGCAATGAGGCAGATGCAGTGCCCCTGCTGCTTGTTGTATGCTTGGCTTCCAGAGACTCTTGTTTGCAAACAACATCTGTCTCTTGCACTACTCCAGCACTTCCTTCTGCCAGTCAGGGTCCACCCCGTGGCTTCCCTGTGACATCTGCTTCCACCTGGCCAAGTTACCATGAGCAGGTGCCCAGAGGAAGAGGACAGCAGCACGAGGTGGCTGTGGCATCGCTCATGTACATACTCCAGGAGGGAGTGTTACTTCTCCAGCTGAGGTACCCCTGGGTGGGAAGTGAGGAATAAAAATGAAGAAATGTTGTTCCAAATGGAAAAGGAGATGGGCCAAAGAAGAACTGAGAGAGTGAAGAGAAACCCAGACGTATGAAGGAAGAGATAAGGCTAAAGGTCTGGCACTGATATCTGAAAGATAGTAGTGGCTGAATTACAAGTGTATGAGCCCACCCAGGAGCAGGCTCACAGCAAATCTGCAGGATTTGTGCTTTATTTAAACTCTGGGCAAAAATTCTTAGGAACCAGACTAGTAACAACTTGTGCTGATGTTTGCATAGGTTATTCTCTCTACTCTGAGACAGCAAGACTCAAAAGATGTGGCTGTCTGCTATGCAGCAGAGAAGAGGAAGCTTTGTGTGGGAACTGCATCCCAAAACAATCCCTGTCCAGGAAGAGTGTTCCTTTGAGTGCACTCAGCAGCATCAGAGCTACTTTGTGCAAGCAGAAAGGTGTGACATACCAGCAAACACATGGGACAAGGGGATGATGAGAGTTAGCCTATTGCATTGTAATGCTGATGAAGTACTATCCCAAGAAACCAAACTGGACTAAAATATAATGGGGACAACTGTTCACGCGTGCAGATGATAAGAAAAATGAGAAATCTGTAATTGCAATGAAATCCCTACAAACTTGGCATGGTGAAATTTGTCTTCAGCTACTCCCTCACTGGTTTTGAAAGCATCTGCCAGCAAATGGTGGGCATATCTTCATAGATGCTCAACAGAACCCATGTGCAGTACAGGCGCTGAGCTAACAGCAAACATGACAGACTTAAGTCTCACAAGGGAGCAAGGAAAAATCCAGATAGGGGCTTTCTGGGCTTTGTTTCTTTTATGCACCACTGGAACAAGGAAATATATCAATATGGAAGTTTAGAAATGGTTTGAGGTTTCGCGGAACTTGCATCAGAGTGGCCCTGTGCCTACTATTACCGTAGTCCACAGAGGTCACATGGTGAAGTGCTAGTTTCAGGCAGCATGGCTTTGGGAATTTCAGAGGGTTGTTTAGAGAAGAGTCCAGGACTTGGCTGAGGTACTGATCAGGCTGAAATTCAATTTTTTTGCAATGTGAATTATTCACAATCAATGTAAGTACTTTTGTCCATGATCAGTAACTTTTCTATGAGAACAAGCTACAAACTTCCCTGGCCTATCTAGAGAGCCGCTAGCTTTTTGAGATCACTCTTGACAGACTCATTTTGAGTTTAAACTGGGTTTGCTGAGAAATCCATAAGGGGTAGGAAAGCTGGTGTTTCTCCAGCATGCAGCATTGACCAGCCACCTGGGTGTGCTCTGAGGAGCACTGGTGCTTGGTTTTCTTGGAGTGCTGGGCACCAGAACAGGGAAGGCTGCTCAGGAGGTAGCACAGGCTCCCTGCACCAGCATCTTATGTATTCTTATTGCATCATCACACCAAGTCTCGCTTGTAAGAAGTGAGATGACACAGTGCTAAAACAATGGGCAGCCTGTGATGGCGCTGGTGCCATTGCTAGTAGAGGGAACGTGCTCTGCGGAAGTATGGAGAAGGCCAGTGCATTCACAGAGACAAGAATAAACTGTTCTACAATAACATTTGGCAACAAATGCAAAGCATTGTTCAGTTTGCTGTTGTTGGGGTTGCAGAAGAAGGCAGTTTCTCATAGGGAAGCTACATTTCAGCTCAGTTCGCTGATCCAGATGGAAAACCAAGAGACAAGCCAATACCTCAGCCTCTGAGTTTCTCCAAACAAAGTAGGCTAGTTCTTGTTTTCATCTGCATCAGAAGCTCCCTTTGTTTAGCTTCATTGGAATAGATTGATTTCTCCTATAGCCTGGATGCAAGTGGTTCTGCCAGTGGAAGCCCTGTATGTGGGCAGCTCCATCCCACACCAGCTGTGGGGTGTACGTCCCTAGTGGGAACCCAGGTCAGCACATCTGAGCAGATGGGCTCAGATAAAGAATGACAGGCCAAATTTTGAAATGTATACACAGCTGCAGATGTAACATCTTAGACTGTTGAAACAAGGAAGAGCAGCTACTGTCTGCTTTAGTAGCAGGAGATCTTGTGCTAGTCTGCCATGAGTTTCATGAAATGGATCACTCAGTGTAAACGAGGTTCAACATAACTCCAGTTTGATCTATCTATGGAAAGAAGGGTTTTTTTTTTTCCAGGATCTCCATCCAGTCTAGGTAGCAGATCACTCTTACTCTTGCATGGTGCTCTGTAGGACAAGTATCACTTTGAAACTGTAAGTTTCCTTTAATGGAAATTGGGGGCTGCATGAGAGTCACCACCTTCACAGAGAATTCTGCATTTCCAATGGCCTGTGTTATTTAATCTTATCTGAAATGTTCTGAGAGCTGCCTGGCACTGCCAGAGCCAGCACCCAGCATGGGCAGGGCCAATGCACAGAGGGAAGGAGCAGTCATGGTCATGTGAGGCTTTCTCACAGGTGTTCCTTGGAGGATGAGAACTTCTTTATGATGAGCCATATGAGCTCAGTAAGATTCTCATTATGGCTGAGCTCACATGCCATATATTTCCTCTATTAGTTTTGCCTGAAGGCCTTCTGATGCCCAAAGACAAGATCCCTAGTAGTCAAGCTCATGGACCCAGTATTCACTCTTGCCTTTGCTGGTTCTAAGGAACAATGATATTGCCAAGTTATTTTGTTTGTTAGTTCGTCAACAGCAATGGAAAGCAAGAATCAAACTTTTCTTATGAAAAGCCATTGTTGAATTTTACTGAGGCAATTTTTTCCTACTAGGTGGTACTGTGACAGCCAGAAAAACAACAGCTGTAAGTGCTCAGAGCTGTATGCTTTCCAGGTAATCTGACTTCCCATACAACATGCTTCTGGGGAAGCATTGACTCCAGCTGCTTCTGAGGAACTCCACTTACTTCTGCTGAGGAGACCTCAGCTCTGTGTGGGTTGCAGAGGATTTTCCCCATGTGCCCTCTGGTTGTAGATCCCCAACAGGGCTGACCATCCCCAGGTGAAGCCAGCCCTGCATGTGTTGTGAAACTTTTCTCTCAAAATGACTTAATTGCACCAAACAGCAATGACTATGGTATGATGCTCAGAGCATTTCCTGGGGAAAAAAAAAAGGACATTGTCATAGGCAGGGTCTTATACAATGCACTCCACAAAAGGAGGGAAGGAAGGTAAATATAGAAAACTGAGGAGATATTCTGCATTGAGAGACACAACAAAAGGAAAACTGCCAGGAAATGACTCCACAATGGGGCCAAATTCAGACTCCTTGGTCCTAAACACTCATATAGGCAACCCCCCTCCTCCAACAGCTGAACAGGGAGTGCCCAGCATCCCTGGAAGCTGGGAAAGCCCTGGACAGAAATCAGTGAGGCTCTTCCCACTGAGTTTGAGAGCTAAGCTCTTAATGAATATCTAAAACAAGCCTTTAGGTTGCTTGCTGTACGCTTTCAGTTTTTGCAGTGAACCTAGCTAGGTCCATATAAAGCATTTTTCTCTGCAGATATTAACAGACCTATTTACATTCACTGCACTCAGTGCCAGAGAAGATGTTGATACAAGCCCATTTATTCCCATGCTGCCTGGTCTAGGCCAGTCCTTGTACTCTCTAAAGTCAATGCAGAGGAAAAGAAGTGTTTCTAAAGGATAATTCATCCTATCCCAAGATAAATGGTGTTAGCAAGGGAAGGAGAGGTTAAACTGCTCTTTGAAGATGCCTCTATGGATTACCAGGAAGCATGACTTAGACTAAACACCTATTCACTAAACAAAGAAGGGATGAATCCCACCATTACGGTCTAAACTGATAATACAATACAGATGTGTGGAGCAGTAAGTGACCAGATGGTGAATTTATCACACTACAGTGTAGTTTCTTGTAACAGGCTGATTAAATAGTTGATTTGCTCAACAGACCATCTCAGCTTCATTACAAGAGCTAGTCTGGAGCCATTAGAATTCAGTGCAGGGCCCTGTGTATGTTTTTAGAAAATATGATGGTCTGGAAATAAAAGATTATGTGCAAGCAGCAATTTTTGGTCAATTAATCTAAGGTTCTCTGTACTGAAAAAGAATCCTGGCATCCATTTTTCCATGCTATGTGCAGAAATGATAATTAATGCCAAATTACATTTAAATGAACAAAACCACTACAATACATTAGGACTACTAAATATAGCCTCTCCATGTATTCCCTTGTGCCTCAGAATCAATGGTTTTGTTTTGAACTAGCAAAGATTTTTCTTCAAGACTCTCTGGGTTACGGAGCTATCAAAATGCTTTGACAAAACTGTATCTGGTATTGTGGGCACTGAAAACAAAGAAGAAAATAAAATAAAAATAGGGCTTTAATGAATCATCCTATCTGCTGGAAGCAGTTCCCTACAGGTTGAGCATGAGCAACCCAGCATCTCGCAGGGCAGGACATGCATGGGGATCCAGGGTCATGTCTTCAACTGCAGTCACAGTAGATCCTGCCATCTCTGTTCCCACAGCACACATCCATCCTTCGGGCCAGGCTACCCATAGTTTGGAGGAGGCGCAGTGAACCCAAGACCTGCTTGCATCTCTGTGATGCAAGCAGGAAGCTCACATCCATGTTGCCACCTTTCCTATACAGCTATGGGATGTTTCATGAGACCAAAGTCCTAGTGTGGGTGATCTCAGAGGACCTCAGCATGACTGCACAGAGCAGCAAGGAGACCTTTTGGATGGGGAGCAGATTGCCTTCAAAGCACCAAAGATGTCCTTCAAGAGAAGAAATGAGCTCAGATGTTCTGCCAGCACAATGCCAAGGCACTTATGGGAATGGTTTCAGAAAAGATCAGCCCAGTTCTTCCTCAACCTTTGCTGAGGAACTCTTAGCAAGCACTGCTGGGTCCCCCACAAAGCACTTTCTCCAGGTATGTCTTGGGTTTGGAAAAATCTCCAAAGATGTACATGTTCATAGAACCATAGAATCATTAATGTTGGAAAAGACCTTTAAGATCTAGTCAGACTGTGTTCATAGGTTGTCTAGAGAGGATCTATTTTGATATAAGCTGCCTGCCCAGGGACTTTTCCACTCAATGAAGTTTTTTCCAGCTGCGTGGAAAACCAGTAAGAGCAGGCATGTATCCAGCATTTTCAGAAGAAGTTGTGCTATGTTAGTGGCTGGCATCACTTCACAGAAGAAACAATGTTGAAAATAACTTAAATATTCTTTGGTCTATCAATCATTTAGTTTACATAACTTTGTCACTTTTGAAGGTTTTATGCAATCCCGGAGCTCAGAAAAGTGACTCTTCAGGGGAAATGTGGATCAGTAATTCAGGTTACTGGTGAGTAGATCTCCTGGGTCATGCCTTTGCAGTGAATCAGCATGGTCTATTGCTCTTGCTTGGCTCTGCTCATGAAATAGCCTAGCCATTCAAATCTAGCCATTTTTTCATGCCTCTCTGTCCCCCATGGAGCTTTTCTTCACAATAGGCCAAAGGGGAAGAGCCTAGAGGACAGTGCTTGTGGTAAGAATGAAGATCTGCTGGAGATTTAAAAGATAACACTTGAAAATCATGGGACACCTGAGCTATATAACATGACTGTCAAATCTAACGCTCTCCAAATGCCATTCTAATCTCAAGGGCACCTCCCACTGCTGCTTCTGCTCTGACCATCTCTCCACTGGTGCTAATGTCCCACTCCTGACAGACTCCACAGCTGGGACTGCAAGGAAATTCCCTTGTGAATACTATGTGGACAGTTGCTGTGTGATGGGGGGCCTGGGGAAGCTTCGAACTAGAGAACAGCAGGAAGGATAAGCTCTGATCGTCCTCTAGCCTCAGGCATTACCAATGCAAGGAAAGGATCTGGGTTTTGGTGATTTCTCTTGTGTGTGCCTATGTGTTTGTATTTTATCCTGACCAGTTAGTTTCTATGAGGCAAGAGAGCTGCTGAAGACAATGGTAAGGGTTGGAATTTAGATGGCGGGAGTCAGAGAAATGCAAAGAGAAGGATGATGAAGTGTCAGTCTCCTGTTAAAAGGGACATAAATGACTGATTTCAGTGCCACCGCTGTTCCTCCTTGATCCTTATCTGTCTTATGCTCATTTAAACAAATGCACACTCTTTCATTTACCTCCTGCTACCAAGAAACTATCCAATTAGAGACAGAAATGACTTAGCCTCAACACTGTAATTCTCCTTTGGACACCAGACTTGAATATCAACCAGACTTGATTTAAATGACAGCAGCACCTTTCTCCTGAAAAATTGTGTATCATATGTTAGGAGAAACAGTTAAACTCTGTTGCCCATCTCAGCACATTCTCTTTTCAATCTTGCAAATAACCCAGTCTACACTTATATACCATTCAGCCAAGTTAATGGAAAACTATGATTTAATTAAATATTTTCTCTCTCAAGGCTTTGCGCTCCCCTTTTGATTTCTGCTGGAACTCATCTGGAGAAATATTGCCTCACTCAGAAGAAAGAAATTGATGGATAAAAGAGGAGAGGGAGTTTCTCAAGAAAGCCAGCAGCTCCGTGATCTCATGCATCCCCAGATGACAATAGCGCTCCCAAACCAGTGGTTCTCCGTGGCTGTGCGCACAGAGGCATGAAGCACAACCAGCTTTCCCCAGGGCTATTCTCCTGGGCTTGCTGGCCATTCCCTGGAAAGAGAGACCACAGGGCAGGATGGCAATGGATGAATCAGTCCTACCCTCAAGGCTGCAGAGAAACCTTTTTCTCCGGTCCACTCCCATTTCTGTCTTACTGACTCTCCCCAAAGTCCAAAGTGTGGTCTGAGCATTTCCCTTTTTAGATGGATTGCATTTTTATTAATTTTACAGTAAATCACTTCTCTATTTCCTTTGTTTATGCTAGGTGGAATCGGTGATTTCCATGTCTGTGATGCATTACTTGGCACATGAGCACAACACATACCATCACTTCATCATACCCATTATTGACACCCCAGCTCTAGGACAAAAAGATGAAAAATCCATCTCTATGCTGTCACTTCCCTTTTCCCTCCTGCTCTAGTTCAAAGGTACCTCTGGAAACCTCAGCCTTGAGTTCCTCCATCCCAGCCTTCTTTAAGCAGGACGATCCAAAATGCCTAAGCAGCACAGCTCAGACTTGGCCCCATAGGACCTGCTGCTCCATGTCACATCATCTTCTAAAATCATGTAGCTAGCACTTTATCAGGGGGAGAACAGCAGCCTGGAAAGGAGGAGGAAAGCTTCTGTGTTCAGCCCAGGGAAATACAGCCTCCTCTCCCTGCTTTCCCCTATGAAAGCTCCCACCTGAACACTGGGCCCCTTCCGAAAGCAAACAGCTGACCTGCATCTTTTGAATATCTTGGCTTTTATGGCTTGGATCCCAACCTTAGCCATGTTTCAGTGCCATTTTCTCTTTGCTGAACAGCAGGCCTGGAAAGCTTCACCTTGCTGCAGTCAACGTGCATCCTGCCATGCCCATGCAAGGCGTTTTTCTTCAAAGGACCTGGTGCCAATCCCCAAAGGCACCCATTGCAGGAGGCGAAGTGTCTCCATGGAGATCTCCCCAGTGCCCTCTCTTCAGCCCCTCCCTCTTTTATTGTAAACAGCATCCCTATCTCTGCTGGAGCAGGCAGTTCTCTGCTTCCTGGTCACCTGCCTGCCCAATGTGCCTCTCGGCCTGCTGCTGCCTGGGAGAACAGCAATGCCACTCTCAGAGAGTAACCCACACATTACAGAGAGCTCTTTTTATTCTTGAGTTGCTTTCCACCCCCATCCCATTATCAGATTTGCCCGCGCTTCTGGTAGCAGCTGCAGCATCGTGCTGCCAGGGACCATGTGTTCAGGGGAGTTTGGAGGAAGGAGACCAGGGGCTGCAAACCCTATTCCCTGCTCCTTCCTCCTTTTGGTGCCTAGCACAGAACTGCTAGGTAGCTGAACATCCCTTCTGCATACCCGCATCCAGAGCATGCCTTGATCCTCCCTGAGCAAAGAGAAAAGGGTTCAGGTATCGCCCAAATCCCTTGGATTTACTTGTTTTTTTTTATGCTCCATATAGTCCAAAGACCTCATCTCCTACCCAGCATCTTCCACCCACCCTTCGTTGGGGAAACTCTGTCATCTATAGCAGGATTTTTCAAAGAGATTCAAGGAAAAATATGGAGGAGTAAATGCACCCATGTTCCTTCCTGCTCCATCACCCTTCTCTCTAATGCAGACAGCTGGCACCTACCCAGAACATCGCTACAGTTCTTCTGCTCCTCTCTATTTTGGGGCCATATCTTCACACCAATGAACATTCCAAAATAATTTCTCCAATGTATTTGGCACAAACAAGCTTTTCTCTGCAACACCACCTACTGCTCCTTGCCAGAGTGTTTTTTGTACTCAGCCCCAAGGAAACCTGCCTCTCCATTTCTGCAGGAATGCCTCTGGTGAGTGCCTCTCCATGGCAGGGTTTGCTGCACCAGGCAATGGGGTCCATGCTGGTAAGACTACATGCACCTAATGCCCCAAATGCAATGGTCCCGCATGCTTCCCTGAATCACTGACTTCATCACTCAGTGCCTCAGTTTCCCTCACTGGAGCACAGAGATTATACTCTCCTTTCAGAAGTCTCCTTTCAGAAGTATTTTGTTGTCTTTGGATAAAGCAAAGCAGATAAACCTCTGCAAATGGATGAGAAGGCACTGTAGTTTAGACTCATAGAATCATCTTGAGTTAGAAGAGACTCTTAAAGGCCATTCTGTCCAACACCCCTGCAATGAACAGGGACACCTACAGTGAGATCAGGTACTCAGAGCCCAGTCCAGTCTGACCTTGAATGTCTCCAGGGATGGGGCACCCACTACCTCTCTGGGCAACGTGTTCCAGTGCCCCACCACCATTACCATAAAAAACTTCTTATATCCAAACTAGATCTCCTCTTTTTTAGTTTGAAACCATTTTCCCTTGTCCTGTCATAGCAGACCCTGCTAAAGAGTCTGTATTCTTCCTTCTTATGGCCCCCCTTTAGATACAGAAAGGAAGTTTCCTATAATAGGCAAGAAGGTACATCCTTGGAGCTCGCCACTTGGAGCTGGCTACTTTTCTGCTATAGTAGAAAGTAAAAATATTTCTAAAATCATCCTGGGGCAGAGTTCTGTCACCCAATTCCCATTACAACCAACAAAGTCATGCATGACTCTCCATCCTGTCAGGTTCACGCTGTTTTGCATTGTCCAGCCATCTCCCAGCAGGGCCTTTGCTGCTCTGACCCACTAGCACCTTCACCTGGCCTGTGCATGGATCTAGAGGAATGCAGACTCACAAAACATATCTTCAAGGAGACCTCTGCAAACGCCAGTCCATCAGCTGGCAGGAGGGGAACATCTCCCAGCACATCATGTCCCTTAGACAGTGAGTGTCACAGGTATGTAGGAAACGCTGCATAAAACTTGATTAAGGTAAAGTAAAATCAGTATGATGAGGAAGAAGCCACTCAGGTAGCTCCTAAACTTCGACATGCAAAGAATGATATAGTGACGTGCACAAACTGATATAAACTGAGGAAGGCAGTCCTGGTGGCAAACAAGGTTCTTTTTGTAAAATAACATCAGAAAGACTGGAAGAACCTCCACAAATCCAGGCGAGCAATCTGCTGTTCAAGCAGCAACTTGAACAGTCTTGGAGTACATGTAAATGGGTTAGGCACTCACACAGTGACTCCCATCCTTTGCCAGACCAGCACGTACCCCTTTTGTCCCACAGCTGCCTGCCAGCTTCTCCATAACTCCTGCCATACAAGATCTCCAGATGCTTTCACTCAAAGCAAAAAGGGAAACTGAAAGGACACAGTACTGGAAACAAGTGATGTGGGAAAGTTCCTCCATATCATTAGGGGAGACCTTACACTGCTTTTGGAAGAGCAATTCCTGAAAGGTGATACTCTTCCATTGTCACACTTCTGCTGCTACGACGGAATCTTACTGTTAGGGCTCAGGGAGTTTCCAGGAAGGGGAGAAGAAAATGAGATCTTTCAGTTCCTTTCACCTCAACTGCAAAAATATGCTTTCCTACTTTTCCTGTTCTAGGCAGATTTTTCCTGGCCCTTAACCAAGTCTTTTCAGCTGATCTTTGTTCAAATCTATGACGCGTGGTCAACGTGTTCAGCAAAAGCTGCATTTTGCTGTTAACCAATGAGTGCTTGGGTGTGAACTGCAAAGAAAGTAAGATCCAGATTTTAAAAGTGTCAGACATGGATTTGCTTTGACATTAGCATTTCTCTGTCATAGCCCAAACACTTTTGCTAGTCTGCAGCAGTGCTGTTTTCTCCAGAAAAGCCCAAGACCATACTAACAGTGCTCCAAATGCACTCCTGCAGCAGTTTGTGTAGCACAAACTCTGTTCAGCAAACACTCATACAGAACTCACTGATTCTGAGAATGCAGTCCTCCAAGTTCTGCAGGACACTTGGGACAGTCACAGGCTTTTCCATACTTGGACTTTTCTCCTCAGGAGTTCAGCGTTCAGTGGAGGTATTGGGAAGCAAAAGAGCTAATGCTGACAAACACAAACATTGATGACCAGATGAGTGCTGCCCTTTGCTTGTAAGCAGGCCTTACAAGTGGTCCTACAGGACCACTGTTTCTTCCCAGCTCCAAGCCATACAGTTGCATGGAGCATTCTCTCTCATTGTTTGTGCATAATAATCACCTTCAGGCAGAGAAGAAAGTTAAAATAATAGACAGACAAATGAAACGCAGGTACCAAAAATGGTGAAAGCTGATGAGATCATCCTGTCCTTCCCCCTCACTTAGTCAATACAAGATTGTTCCCCACCGGACCTCAGAACAATGCCGCTTAACCTAGATGCAATTGTGCTGCAGGAACCACCAAACACAATGCAATGAAGAGCAGAGAATGAGCTCATATGAGTTAATCCAATTCCTGCAATAAAACGATCTATGGCTCTGGTCTCCGTCCTGCAACATTCTGCCTAGCCAACCCTTCTGCACTTGTGTGCTAACTCTTGAATAAAAGCTGCAGCCTGTGTGCTGCTGACATAACCTGGAGCTAGCAAAACACAACACAATAATACCAACCAATGATCTTGCTACTAAAACCATTGCTTTGTTTAGGTGGAATCCATAAACCTTGTTCTTCACAGACAGTTGGGGAGCAAAGCTTTATTTCCAAGAATGCTCAGAGAGGAAATCCATTGTGTAGATCAACATGAATAGACCCTTGCATGTGAAGTCTGTATGGGAAGCATACAGGTGGCTAGTGAGAAAATAGCTTCTTATGCAATACAGCAATGCAACACAAACAGCTACTGATGACCTGCAAACATTTAGAAGGTGGCTCTATCTGTGAGGCACACAACACAGGATCCCAAACCAATGCCACCCAGGCAGTACACTGCAGGAACAGCCAACCAGTACACAGCAAATACTCTCCATGGCCCAAAGAACCCACCGACTATAGCATTTGCTATTTGTAAGACATGTCCAGAGCAACAAATGCACATTCAGAGGGTGGAAAGGAACATCCCAATGATTCCTTGGACTGGTATCTCGCACTGCCTTATGTATAACAGGCCTTAAAGCAGAGAGTAAAAATCCCTGCCTAGATTCCATCAAAGCACTTTCCTGGAACTGGTCTGGGTAGCAAGCCCATCTCCTCCTTCTTAAAATCATGTAGCTGAAAAAAAGCAGAGAGGCTTTCATTGCTATTCTGTATGCATAATTAAGTTTCATTTGCAGAGCAATGAGTTCTTAGTCGGTAAGTACACAAATACAGATCTTGTTAATTTATGTGAGTGATACCCAGAAACAGAGTTCACCAGCCAAGGTTCAGATAGCAGGCAGAAAAATGTATTGTGATACTGGAATGCAACAGCGTACACAAAAATATGTCCACCAAGTGCAACGCTGTAAACAGGAGCATAAGTAAAATAAACAAATACATGTCATCTCATCTGGGTCACAAGTTGACTCAACGTGACATTTCCTTTTGCAGTGAAGAACATTTGGAGAAAAAAGAGCCTATTTATATAGGCTGTTTTGACTATTTTTGTAGTATTCTCATTTCAGACGCTAGAGGCTTTCTCCCCTTTCTATGAGTGAGATTTTCCTTCTACTTGAACTCACAGATCATAAGCCATAGTCCTGCACACTTAAAAACTGCATCACTGTACAGCTGCGATCAGTGATCTCAGCCACATGGGTTTGCCATAAGATCAGAGGCATATGTGGGCTGAGAACAGTAGCTCTGAGTTCAATACTACCAGCTTTTTGAAGGCTTCAGAGGCAGCCTCCATTTCTCCCATGCTAGCTTTCTTTCTCTTCCCAAATGATGCTTTGCAGCTGTGTGTCTTTCAGCTCCCTGGGGAGCCCATTTACACTGTTGCTCTTGAATTACTAAAGTGGGAACACGCGTCCTGCGTCTCTACGCGTGCACGCACTCATGCGCACAGAGCTCTGAAGCCCTGTGTGTGGTTTTCATGGAAGAGAAAATTTTGGCTGGTGCTTCTCCCAGCCTGCCTCATGCAGAGCAAGCATAGGAATGATCCTGGACATGTCCCTTGTGCTCCTGAGCTGCTTGCTGCCTTGTGTAGGTGGCTATCCAGAGCACTCTAAGCAATGTGTATGGAGCGTACATATCAGAAGGAGGCATAAGAAGGAAAGGAAACCGACCTCATCTTCCCATAGACCCGACTGAAAGGCCTCTTGCTTTCTGGTTGCAGGGCATGTGTTTTGAACAGCAGGACAGGTTGGACATGTTGCAGTAAGTCCTACACAAACTCACTCATTTACCACAAGCAGCAAGCAAAAGCAACATGTTGTGGAGCACTACTGAAAAAGCTGATCCTTGCTCCAGCCTAGGCACCCTTCTACAGCCTTTAGGGAAGATGGTCATGCAAACACCAAGCTCTCTGCAGAGCATCACTTATGCCTGTTTTGAGGAACTGGAGGAGCCAAGTAGCTGTGAGAAGAACCTGCTGGCTGCCTGTTACCAGCTCAGCTGCCATATGCACAATGTCAACCCAGGGCCCTTGGTAAGGGGCTCTTCAGGACCATAGCTCACCACAGCTGCAAGGTTGGCAGGAAAGGCTGACCTAACCCTGCACCAAGCGGGCCCTCAGACCTATTGTCTTGAAATCAGGGTAATGATGGATGCCTAGGATGTTTCATCATTTCCCAGCACTGTTACAGGGCCCACATTTAAACTTCATCAAAAACTTTTTGGTTTCCTTTCTAATTTTTATGTGCCTGGAGTGCTGGCTATGCCTCCCCCAACCTTTGTTCTCCTGCTATTAAATGACTGATCCATTTTCTCAAAGGATGAGTACTACCATTGTGCAAACCCATTAGTTGGATACTGGTATGAGCAGTAAGACCCCAGTAAGGGGGCTGCCGTTTGAGTTATGTTCTCCACATTCTCTCCATTCCTCTCCCCTTCCACCCAGACTCCATCTTTCCTTTCACAGCTTTTTCCCACACCTGCCACTTGCCAAATAATCCAAAGGCTGGAGGGGACAGCTATAGGAAATAAGGCAGTGAGCTTCCA